TTACTTTGGAAGCTGGCATGGGCCAAGAGACCTTCTCCGCAATTATTTGTTGATCGACTTTTTCCTCTGCTCTTGGCCCCCGAACAAGGAAAGAACGGACAGACTACGCTACAATGGGGCGATCTTGATGGAATTGTGTGAATGCGACTGGTGTCAAGTAAAGGACCATAAAGAACCGCAAACACTGTATCTGGCCAAGACAGCCCTCCACGGAGTAACGATTGGGAGCAGAATATGCTTTTACAGCGCGGTAGTACGAATTATATGGTAGGTTGTTCATGTGGACTGGGTCCAAGTAGATTGGGCAATTTGGACCTCGCTGTTTCCAATGCGGACAATAATTTACACAGCACGGCAGGTACAATCCGGTGTTGATTGCGAAATTGTGGGCGAGGGATTCCCCAATTGGGAAGCATCGGAGACGGGGGAGGGCACGGTGGTACTACGCCCAATTGCAGACACGGAAGGGACGACCGAGCACCACACTTAGACTTGGCTCTTAAGAGCAAGACGCGGTAGGAAGAAAGCGCGTGGGAGCGGAAAGGATGATTAAGGAACATGAAGCAGAAGAACCAAATCGTAACAAGGGGCAATCAACAAACAAATCCAGGGCACAACTTTGGTCCACTAAAACAGATCTAGCTAGTCTCCAACGGCAATCTCTCGACTCGATCTAAGACCAAGTATCTACCGGCTGTTGGCCTCGGAGTAGTGGGTAGCAGTGCTCCATCACAGACAGGTGTCCGCTTGTGACACATACTTCGTATTGTTAGTCGACCAAACATCTGCATTGGCACGACCGAGGCACAAAGCGTAAGTTTGGTAGTAATCCTCCGCAGAAGCAGACGGGAAAGGCTGGGCGATCTATCTACGCCATATCACCGTGTCGATGCATAATAATTCGATTGTCAGTCGTTGGATCCTTCCTCATTTGGGTCGGTGGTGTTCATCGTTCTGCAGCTTCTGTTCCTGGCAGGTGCACAGAGATGTGCTTGCCTAACCTGGCCAAGCGGGATTGGCGTGCGTCGACAATGATATGCCGTTCTGAACACAGCCTGAACTGATCAGCCATGCGCCCCTGCTTACTGCATCCTTGGCCAGGCCTGGCCAGGGCTGTCGTGGTGAAATGGCGCAACGAAAGTAATGAGGGATAATATGTCGTCTTACGTGCTACTTGAGAGTGACAGTTTTGAATAAATACACGTAAGAAAAGCAACTGTGGGATAATATCTACAAAATGGCGAGCCTCGTGTTAGTGACGAAAGTGAGGAGTCTCGTCCGCTCCGTATCGCAATGGCCCCACGTTTAGTGCTCGATGGCATATCAAAGGTGTTAAACAAATCAAAGGCTCAGTGGATTGAGGCCGCGATCTCAAATAAATTGTGAAGCAAAAGACGGAACAAGTCGACGCCGCCATGGACAAAAGGAAATCAGAAAGATACAAAAATGTGCACTGTTTCTTCTCGCTATCGCCACCATCGCGTGCTTGTCTTCGCGTTTGTCCTTTCCAGCGTGTTGATGTTGCGACGGGGCCGCAACAAGACGTTTGTTTTGCGATACCACGCCACTCTAAGGACGTCCTTGCGGGGTTTTCGGAAGGACAGCGCGGTCTGGTGCGGATCTCGCAGAATCCTAACCGTGTAGCACTTCCCCAAACGAAGAAAATGCCATCCCTGGATGTTCAATAGAAACTGGCTCTCGTCGTTCCAAGTCGCCGCCCGTGAGGGCGCCACGTCTCTGCTTTCCTGGGGCTTTATGGTGCATACTCAGCCTGTATTGGGCGCTACCGTCTTGCGCCGCATGGCGCGGCTCAAGCTGCCGACCAAAAATCCTCGCCTTGGGGTCGAGATGTACGATGAAAGGAGCTATCAAAATCAATAGGATAAATAAATACGTCCGGAATTTCTCAAAGTAAATCGCTAGCTGCCTTTGTTGCCATTTAGCCACCATATCGCAACGTCTCACGCCTTGCTGGGCCAAAAAAAAANAAAAAAAAAGAAAAATGCAATTAACCATACCATTCATTTGTTCCTTTTGTCTTTTTGGTATTCATGTCATTCCTACTCCACTAGTCACTAGTCGTGCTTCCCCTGCAATACTTTATCTTGCCCGTGGATTTCTCTGTGTGGTTTAGAAGCCTCAATATATGTGCCAACGGCTTGTTGCTCCCTCCTAGCTACAATTCGTGCTCGCTGATCGTAGCTTCCTCCCATTACTTCTCTTGCATCCAACGATGGTAAAAGACCATCCTCCAACTCAGCCCCAACGTCTGCATCGGGCGTCAACAACCAACGTGCACGAACGGGCCTCGCGGTTCTACCGCACAAATTACCGTGCGAGCGATGTGACGGCGGTGGGTGCCAATGCGGGAGCCTCCAAGGCTTTGCAGCAGCGACTAGATATTCTTCAATTGTCTCTGAGAAATCCGGAGGAGGCGTCAGTCAACACGTTGGCACAGCGTGGTGACGAATCTGAAGATTTTGAGACAGAATCAGGCTATCAGAGAGATGGTGCAGGAATTTGGAATTTGGAATCGAAGAAAAAGCATAGCATGGAGTACACGGGCACGCAAAACTGGCCTGGTATGGGCATAATAGATTTCAGAGTCGCAAACTATGGAGAGATAAAAAAAGCAAGTGATAAACGACGCAAAGGCCGCAAACCGCACACGTCAAAGCTATCCCGTTTAACGTCCCAGTCTCATATCTGGCCTCGCACTTAGACACTCGTATCTAGGCTCTCTTCGACTTGGTGGCGCCGCGGTTGGCGTTGGACTGGACCGAGCTGGTCGTCTTTTGACCGGAGCTCTGGATCTTGTTCTTCTGCTGCGGGTTCGACACGAAGTACAAGTAGACAGCGGCAATGATGGCGAGAATAACAAAATTGCCAGCCACAAATTTGCCGATGCCACCAACAAGCGCAACAGTATGGCGAACTGTGTCGGCGGCAAACGTCAAGCCGGACTCGAAGAAGTGGATGACGGCCAAGAAGGTTGCCGCGAGAGCCTCGTAGACGGACCGCATGAGGTCGGCGACGGCATTGGAGAAGGTGGCCATTGTGTCGGGGGTGTTATAATACCGACTCGTGATTGTTTAAATTTGGGTTTGAAAGGTAATGTTAATTTTTTATTAAAAAAAAGTTAATAATAATGACAACAGATGAGTATTGATTTACTGATCGCAAAATGTTAGGTTTTGATAAATTACGAGGAGCGTCCGCCTCCTCTCCCATCTTGTATAAAATTTACACACTTCCTATTACCAGTCACCCCCTCACATTGTCTCGAAGCTGCGTCGCCTTATGATTGCCGCGCCCTTGTTTTGCAGCTTTCTGACGTCACCACCCTCTAGATTGCCCCCCACGACCTGCCACAACCAACGACCCCAAACAAAGGTAGGCGCCAAAACAGCCTCCTAGACGATACAACGTAGGCTGATGAGACTTCTGTGGATATACGTCCTCATGATGCCAAATAGTAGATTGTCCTAGAATGTCACGAGGCGACCTGCCTGGTATGGTACTGATATTACTAAGCAGAGACTCACGTTCTTCATCACGTGCACTATTTTCCTAGCTCTCCCAGGAACGAACCGGGAGAGACCCACCCTATTCCATCTTAGCATATCGACTTTGCTACTCCGGTTGGTACTCGACGACTTTGGGATCCGGACCACGCGGCACAACACCATCGGCAAACACCTTCACCAGAAAGAAGTTTACTTCTTTCTGCTGACACATGAATCAGCAGTCATGTCCAGTGAAGAATCAACAAAGACCCCTGCCCAAGGCGCGGTATCCGAGGCCCGCAAAGACGCTGTCTGGACGCCACAGGTCCGGCGCAAGTTTGAGACGTACGCCCGCCCCGCGTTGTCCCGAACCAAATGTTACAAAATACAGGCTGACATTGTTTTCCTTCAGGAAAAGCAAGAGCGAGTACCTTGACCCATGCCAAGAGGCAGCAGCGCGGAGCATCCGGTGCCTGCATCGCAACGGCGGCGACAAAGCGCTGTGCCTGGACTACTTTCAGTGAGTTGACCTGCAGGACGTTGGCTGGGAACTGTTATTCTACTATATCATTGCATACTGATTCATATAAGGGCGTACCGTGACTGCAAAAAGCAATGGGTAAGTCTATGATGTATTTGGATGGGTGAATGGATGAATATGCTGATAGGGAAGCCGTATGAGAGCAGCACTCTGTACAATCTTACAATCTCTGGCTGTCTCTCTCTATCCTCTCTCTTATTTTCTTATAATTGCGTACCGTGGAGTAATATACTAAAACAAAGCAGCTAGAGAAGCGGCAGGAGGACAAGAGAAGGAAGAAGCAAGAAGCTGGGGGTGGTTGGTTTAGCTGAGCTGCGCTGAGGCCCTTTGCCAAGTAGATACCTACATTTATGTCTATACGATGATTGACACATGTACCATATAATGTATATAGTAAGAACAAGTTTTCTTATTAGTCCTTAAAGACTCAGTGGAAAAACCTCCAAATTCCACAGAAGTAATTAAAAAGTGTCGATGGCGAAGGTATTTAGAAACGAAGAGCGAAGATATGTCTAACTTTGGAACCGCATTCAACACACTCTTTTAAAACGAACTATATACGAAGAGCTAAATAAACAAGCTTATCGACTGAGACGAAAACGGCTAATTTTAAACACGCACGATATATATGTGAATTTCGTTGTCCGACAAACGCTTACGATTCAGAGATGACGATACCGTGTAATTTGCAAACTGTATTATAAATTCGCACGGTGGAATCCGGGGGGTGCACCTACCATCTAGCTAGCGTTGACCACAGCAATCCTGGCGCGAAAAGCATGCACCACCCGATACTTCGAAAAAGGTCAACAGCTTAACAGACAGCTCCAGCGACCACTTTCCCACGACCAGCCACGACCGGTAACTCGGCCCATCTGCATGGCATAGACCTGTTCGACTTTTTCGCCGCCCAATTGCCCCCCGCCGGTGCTTTCTCCTAGACCACCTCTCACATGGAACAACACACCCGCCAGCGGCCACGGCTGAAGAATGGCGTCGATATGCAGCTGCAGGCGGCGTTTGCTGAGCAGAACTGGACGACCGTGATCCGCCTCGCCGACAAGCGCCACAAGGCCAGCAAGGACCCGTATTACGAAGTGGTCAAGGTGTGCGCAGAGACCCAGGTCGACGGCGTGGTGGACAAGGCCGCAGCAGCCGTGCTGGTGGACAACTGGGTGCGCAGCGGCGCGGTGCCCAAGGATCTGGAGTCCATCGAGTTGCTAGAGTGGGCCTGCGACAGCGACGGGGACATGAGCGACTATAGCACCACGTTTGGTGTTCTGCACGCTCGTTGGGTCAAGGCAAACCCGCGCAACGTGGCGGCAGCAACGGCGAGTCTGCGGGCGTGCCTGCAGGCATGGGACCTGGCGAACGCACAACAGATTGCCACGATCCTCGACAAGTCGTCCCACACACACGACCGGCGGTATATGTTCTGGGGTATCCTGTTGACGCATTTGCTTGCGGGCGACGTGGCACAAGCCGAGTCGAAGCGCAAGATCTACGGAATGCTAGCACAGAAACAGCTGGAAAAGGCGGCCGAGGCAGCCGAGGCAGCGGCGTCCACAGCCAAAATCATCGACAACAAGAACAAGGTCAGCGAGGCAGATCGCAGCCTGCATACTGAGGAGGAATTTTTGTTATACCTGCGGGTGGTGGCGACGCACGGCACGGCCGACAACTACACGCAGAGGGCACTACATAAAACGGCAGGTGCCGCGGCACAACTTTTGGCGGCCGGGCGCAAGCAGCTTTTCGACGAGGTGCTGGAGCAACTGGAGACACTCAAGCGCTGGGACTCTGTGTTTGACCTCTGCCGTCAGGCCCTCTCTATGTCGACGGGCGACAACAATGACCAGCCCTCGACTGTGGCCTGCGACGTGCGCGTCTGGAACAGCTTTATTGCTGCGGCGCAAAAGAGCGACAATCCTGAGGCCGCCTTTGACACTGTGCAATCCCTGCTCTTCATCACAGCGAGGTCCCCAAAACTGCCCCAGATGTACACCAAGAACGTCGGCCTCGCCCTGTTGCAAACGACTTTTGGCCTTCCACCAGCATTGTTGCCAGAGCCGGCCGCCGGACAGTCGTCGCTGCAGGTCGAGCAGTTGTTGACATTTATCGAGGCCAACCTAGACAAGGTGTCCCTCTTTGACGATATACGGCTCTTTACTGAGCGTCTTTCCTTTGCACAGGCACAAGACCTCATCAACCGACTCACGGATACGACACCCTCCACGACCCTCCGCAAGGTTCTTGTCTTCAAGCTGCGCTACCTTCTCACAACATGCCCCGAGACACGCTGTCCGCGCTCTGTTCTTTATAACCAGACAGAGGCCGACGCCGACGCGGCCCTCCTGCGCGGTGACGGTGGTCTGCGCTTGTTTGAGCTTGCGTGCAAGGTCTGTCGCAATGCGGCGCCTGCTTCGTACGGGTGCACGCACTGTTTGCAAGAACTGGTCATAGGAAGCCTGCAGCTTCACCGCACACTGTCCGACGATGCCGACTTTATCGCAGCCGTGCCCAAAATGGACAAGGACCCTCGCATCGATCTTGCGCTCGTGGCTGGCAGCAGTCTTCTTCGCCTAGCAGGCGACGTTGGCGCCGACAAGGGCGTTGACACCAGTAGCCTCCTCCAGGCCGCCCTTGTTCTCGACGCCCAGCAGCGCCAGACTCCCGATGATATCACGCTCCGCCTGCTCCTCATCCGTGTCTTCCTCCGTCTCGGCTGTGGAAGCCATGCACATCAGCTCTGGCAGCCACTTGGCGTCAAGCGGAGTATCCTGGATGCCCTTGGTCCTCTCTTTTACGACCGTCTGTCAACGGTGGCGCCCGGCCTGTTTACCGGAAGCAGCACGCCTAAGAAGCCGCTGTTGATGGACCCACTCAAGCAGTATTTTTCCACTGTCCTGCGCCACCCGTCGGCTGTCCGCATCTGGGACGCCTTCGCCGCAGGCAGCTACAGTAGCATTCTCGACATGGCCGCTTACCATGGACAGCTGCAGCGCAGCTGCACACGGGTCATGACGGTTGTCGAGGAGCGACGCGCGGCACGCGCGCTCGGCGGTCGCCTTGACGATGGTCTCCTTGACGACCTTGCCAGTGACCTTGCCCGCGACGATGCACCCCTGCACAATTCCACCGACTATGGCGCTCTCCCTAACCTTGAGAGCTCGTTTGGGGCGCCGCTTGCTGAGAAGGTGTCCCTTGGCCCGGGTCTTTCCGATATGCGCATGCAGCTGTCGCTGCTGGCCGAGCGGTACCTCGAGGTGATCTCCTTCAAGCCGGCCAAGGAGTACAAACCGGCCAAGGCCGCCGAAGCTGCCGCCCGTGACAAGGCATACTTGCTCGAGTCGCTCGCACGCATCCAGTTTTCTCTGGACGACCTGCTGCATGCCTCTGCCCAGCCGGCTGCACATCTCACCGCAGGCGAGTGGGCGTATTACACGGCTGTGTCAGTGCTCGTGTCGTTTGCGACTTTCAGCCTCGGCAACACGACCGGAGATGCCACCGCAACGGCGCCGCCCATCTTCTCGTTGCTAACCGAGTCGCTGACGACGGCCGTGGACCTTCTTCGCAAGTCGGCTCTGCCACCTACTCCGTCCTCTCCTACCACGTCCGCGCTCCTTCGCACCTTTACCGATATCCACAGCCTTGGCATGCTGCGCGAGACTGCCGTTGCCGTGAAGCATACCGGTGCCTTCCTGGGCGCCTTCCACGACAAAGAGAATGCTCGTGACCGAACCGGCAAGTCTGGCCTCGGTAAGGAGGCACTCGCTGGCGCTGCTGCTTTTAAAACGCTTTCGGCGCGCCTGCTCGCCGACATTAAGACACACGTCAAGGCCTGCAAGGACACGCTGGGTGCGCCCGGTTGGCTGGACCGTCTGAGCGAGACAGTGAGCCAACCTGGCGACGGTGAAGGAGAGGACGAGCTAACAAAGGCCGTCGTGGTCGCCGTTGGTGGGTCGGCTGCGGTTGAGGACTGGGCCGGCCACCTGCTAGACGGCTGGCGAGAGACCATCCGTGGTTTGGGACAAGTTCAGTTAGACTAGATGCCACGAACTATGAATGAATAATAGGACAACAAAAATTGAAATAATAAATGTCGATTCATCGAAAAAATCTGGCCAGTCATGGGTATATCCAAAATCATCAAACCATCTCGTGTCCTCTTTTAAGCTCAAGAGACCGCCACGGTCACAATAAAAAGCAGTTGCCAAAAAATCCCAAAATCCAAATACGTCAATGCAACCTCCAACCTAATTCGCATAGCTGTGACTCCGTCGCCGGTTCGCCTTTCGTGCCAACAGCTGTACCCGCTCCTCGCGCAGCGTCACCCACAGCCAGAACCACGACACTGTCTCGATAAACATGAATGTGAAGAACACGCGGTTCTTGAGACCGTCGCCCACGGACCCCGGTCGGCCCTCGTACTCGTACAGCAGGTGCCGTGCCTTGCGCGTGCTGCTGCCGCCGTACAGCGGCGAGGACGCGCTGAAGAAGAACGAGTAGAACAGCGTGACCATGGAGATGAGCACACGCAACGGCGCCTGCATGCCCCAGTAGTGCACGAGGCACACTTCCTCGGGCATGCTGAGCGTGATCAGGTCCGAAAAGCCCCAGCCGGCGAGAATGACGGCCAAAAACGCGAGCGCCGGTGTCGGCACGTCAAAGGCCCGCGAGTAGGGCATGCCCATGGCCTCGCCCAGGACGTACACGAGCGCCTGGTCGGCGACCGAGGCTGGGTTGGTCAAGAAGAAGAAGCCGAGTGTGATGTGGAAGAGAGACAGCGACGTGACGATGGTGCGCGCAGAGATGAGCGCCATGATGGGCAGTGTGGTGTGTGTTTTGCGTGTGTCGTTCTAGTGTACAAGACGTAGTAGGCCGTCGGATTTGTCGAGGAGTCAAGCCGTATGGTAGTTGGATGTTGGTAGCGTTGTATTGAACGTCAAGAGTGACCTTATTTGGGCGGTCGCGAGGTGGTATCGAGATGGTTGTCGAAGACGACGTGGGAGGAAATGAAGTTCAAGAAATGCTCGCGAGATGGCAAAAGTCGGGATTCGTAGCTCTTTGGCGCAAACCGTCACACGGCCGTGAGACGGGAAGGAACGAACAATACGGGAATCCAAGGGAGACAGACGTATGAAGGGGGCGCGCGGGACGGGAAGCTGCGACGGTCGTGCTTTCCTTATAAGCGGGTTTATTGTTGTGAGCTGGAGAAGCTCTGTGTCGTGTGCGTTTCCCGTGAAGGAAGGGGCGAAGGGCATAGATAGACAAAGAAGAGGGAAGGTAACACGTCCGCCAGCTGAGGTGCAAACGCCACAAACTAGGACAGAATATGCTGGATGTTGTGCAGGAGCGTCTGCCTATTTAAAATCGGAACGCGACACGCGAGATACGAGACGCAAATACACATTTTGATCAGAAACACCATTTCGTTGGCTCCGCGGGGAAGAATGCAGGGGTCTCGACAGGAATGGCTAACCAATGTTGCACACGTCACAGGGCAAGAGCAGCCGACCAGGGTTGCTCTTTCCGAAACACTGCAAAAGCATGCGCAAACAACGCACATTACGGAAAACGTCGAATGTCCTGATAAATCTGCTGGTTCGACTCTCGTGCCGTATACGGAGCCACGCACTCTGCAGGCAAGTGTTGTTGCATTGAAGCTATGCATACAACATATTTTCGAAGCTTTTTGGGACTCGACCTCTGTCGGCCCTGTGTCTGAAACAATTGACTTAGTGCCTGCCGCTGCACGAGGCTGCCAAGCCACTCCAAGGGCAGGAACGTGCCTGGCCAGCTCTGGTTTAGCGGGGCTCACGTTCAAGTGGGAGAAGGCACGTTGAGTTCCCTTCTTGGGAAAAGATTCCAGAATCTGGCATGCCCATTGTCAGCATCAAGCTCAAATCTTCAGCGTCCAACATTGTATTCAACACGTTCAAGCCATCGACATCCCCTACCGACCATTCTTCAATGGACCCCCCACTGGACAATACCCGCCATCTGCGCTACTGGCAGCGCTGCCTGCGCACATTGTTACCATACCAGTACACAGCCAACGACAGCACACGCATGACGCTGGGCTGCTTTTCAGTAGCAGCCGCGGATGTTCTGACTGCAGGACCGACACCGACCTCGATCATCCCTCCCGCTGACCGGAAGGCATTCCGGTCATGGGTGCTTGCCTGCCAGCACCCTGGTGGCGGTTTCGCCGGCTCACCAACACATGTGTTTCCACGCGTGGTGTACGGCGGATTTGACTTTGCGACGGGCGGGCCGACGATCGGGGCACAGGGCGAGGCAAACATTGCGGCGACCCTGTTTGCATTACAGCTGCTGGCACTGCTGGCCAGCGAGCCAGGGTCCGGAGCAGACGGCGAGCAAACCGAGGGCAAGAAAGAGGGAGCTTTCCTTGGCGTGAATCGAAACGCAACCCTACGATGGCTTCGACGTTTACAGCGGGAAAACGGCAGTTTTGGGGAGTATGTGACAGAGGTGGTGGACCCACGAGCCGCAGGCGGCCGACGGACGGTGATTGGAGGCGGTGCAGACATGCGGTACTGCTACATCGCGGCGATGATCCGGTGGATGTTGGGTGGTGGAAGAGCCCACGACGACGTGGAGGATATCGGCGTTGATGCGCTGGTGCTCTACATACGGCGCGGACAGACGTACGATGGTGGTTTCTCGGAAAGCTCGACACATGAGAGCCATGGTATGCTTCTGCTATATCACTGCTTTTGCTCCTTACGGGTCGCATGCTAACAATTTAGCTGGATATGCGTTCTGCTCTATTGCGGCCCTCGAGCTTTTGGGACGTGCCCCAGAAGACGGCTTGGTCACAACACCTGCAAAAAATGACCTGTTTGCCCGTGGCATTGCCGATATACCCGCACTACTCCGGTGGCTCGGTTCCCGCAGCTTTTTGTACAAGACCAAGAGCGACGATGACGACGATGATGAAGAGGAAGAGGAAGAATGGCACGAAAGCATTGTCACCAACGTCACGCCGGATACCCTGCTGCAGTCGGCGTGCCACCCGCTTCTTGGCTTTAACGGCCGGTGCAACAAGCACGCCGACTCATGCTATACATGGTGGGCGGTCGGCTCGCTGACCATCTTGCAGCAGAATGGCCATGGGCTGGGCGAGGCTGCCGGAACGGCTGCAGCCAACTGGGATGCAAGCCGTCGGTTCCTCCTCGAGGAGATGCAGCACGCCATCGGCGGCTTCTCAAAGGCACCCGGCGGCCCGCCTGACGTGTATCACTCGTACCTGTCGCTAGCAGTGCTGGCGACAAAAGGCGAGCCCACCCTCAAGGCGTTCGACCCGGCCATGTCTGTCAGCGTGGACACCGTGCGCACGATCGAGGCCGCTCGGCGTGGACTTCTGCGTGGGTTGGGTGATGGCGGTGCAAAACGGCGGGCCGATCTACTGTCCCTTGGCAAAGCTTGCTGGGAAGCAAATAGCACAGTTACAGCAGCAGCGACGGCTGCTTAAAACGGCGTCTACGGAGTATCAGACAATCAAGTCATTTTCCTTTTGATTCTGTTTGGACATATCTTAGCCAACTTCATGAGACACTGCTGAATCCAGATTCATACCCCATTGCAAACTGCTCCCACGGGAGACCTCGTGGTTCACCCAGCCAAGCCGGGCCGTCAGACTTGGCCACGCGGCTCCAGCCCCGGATAAGCGCCCGCCAGTAGCAAGCCTCTGCCGCCGGACTGAAATACCCGCCACCGACAAAGAGAGCTCGCTGCCGCTGCGCAATGCCCTGTGCGACATCCGGGTGCCGCTCCAGCCAAGCCACCGTTGCCTCCAAGTCGGACCAATCGGGCGCCACAAAGACAGCGTTGGCCTCGGCAGCCGAGTAGTGGACTGGCCATGCGGACTGCACGCCGTCCGACGCGACCCAAGATGGAGCGCCCGTCTTGTCGTAAAGCAGGTCCGAGGAGAAGAGCGGCCGGACCAAGTGCGTCGTATGCTGCAGCCAGGCCATAGGCGGCGTCAAGAGGACGCTCTCACACAGCTGCAAGAACTGCAAACGTCCGCTGTACGTGATGCCCTCGGTGTGCAACGTGTACTTGTAGCGGCAGAAGTCTTCAATCCGCAGAGCGTTGGTGGATACAGGGCTGCTGGTCTTGCTGTTACCTTTGTCGCCCCCACCCTTGTCGGCCCAGGCCAGCTCCTCGACGTCCGCCCACGATGCTTTGCCTGCGACCTTGAGCAGGTTCGTCCGCATTTGTGGGTGCTGCGCGCTGTTGTATCGCTTTGTTCCGCGCCATACCGGTCGAGGGTCTTTTCTGTGAAAGGGCAGCTCCCGTTCGAGTGACTCAACTGCTGCCGTCGCCTGCGCAAACGAGCCCACAAATGAGAGTGCCGGCCAGCCCCAAAACGAAAAGTGCGGCATGAGAAAGGCACGCGTGACGAGTGGGTTGCCTGGTGTCGAAGCGGCATACGCGGGCCGGCTGTAAGACAAGGTGTCGTTGGTGGGCCCGTCGAGCACGTTGATGGCAAAGACGGCATCAGGGAGCGGTGGGTCAGTCTTGGGTGCAGTAAGAATGGCGCGGTGAAACTGATGGAGGGCAGCCATACGCGCATCCAGGAACCCACGATCCAGCGTGCCTTTACCTTCGTGGTGAACAATGTACATCCGCCCGTTCTGCAGGCGTACCTGCAGGGGCCCAGAGTCTGCGTCTGCTGGCTTGGGAGCGATGCGGAATGGGCCAAGGGCGACCATGTCGTCAATGTCTTTGGTCAGTCCTGGAAAGGTTGTGCGGCATTGCTTCTCGTCAAGATGGAGGTCGTCAAAGAGAGGACGATTGGGTACTCCGCCCTGGACGGTAGCGGCGTGGAGGCGAGCATCGTCAATCGTAACCTTTCCGTAGAGGTGATAGAAGAGCAGCAGCAGGACGCCAGCAGCGGCGATAATCATTAACTGTTGGCATTGTCGTTGGCGAAGCGTGGACAAAAGATGCATTGTAACTTTTCGAGATTAGATATGGTCAGGAGAGAGTTGAGAAAGGCATTCCCTGGCGATTGAGGCTCCGTGTCTCCTCTGTGCCGACAGCTCGGGTAAAGGCGAGACTTCGTCCAGCAGCTTGGAAGGCGGCAGCCTTTTAACCGTGAATGACGGCAAGGCAAGCATCAGGGTCATCGCGGGCATTGATGGCTTGAACTGCAGCATGGCATTTTCCTATTTGTCCTTGCGCCTTACCGTTTTACCTTCCGTCGTACGGTGCACACGCATAAGCAATAATACAAGAGAAATAGCGGCCGAAAATCAAAAGGAGTCTATCAATGTACAGCCTTCTTAAGATCGCATACAAATACTACCATGTTTTGAATATGCAACCTTGATGCCAAGCCCATTCGTTTTTGTTTTTGTTTTCCACCGCCTCCGACTCGTCACACCTAGCCCATCTTACATCCGCTCCCGCCGCCTGGGTGCCGCCCGGATGATGTCGTCCACACGTAGCAGCAGCTCGGCCGCCTCGCTTGCCGACGACACCACAGCCTTCTTCAGCTTGTAGCTCTCAATCACGCCGAGCTCGCGCATGTCCGTCACGCCACCGCCCGGCGTCATCAGGTCCAGGCCGTACGTCGCCATGCCGTCGTAGATGGTCTTGCGCAGGCGCGCCACCAGGTCACCCGAGTCGAGACCGGCGTTGTCTGCCAGGATCGTCGGCAGCTGGCGCAGCGCAACCGCAAACGCACCCACAGCCATCTGCCGCTTGCCCTCGACGCGCGTCGCCGCGCTCTCGACGGCCTTGGCCATGAGCATCTCCGCGCAGCCGCCGCCCAGCGTCGTCCGCGGCTCCTTGACCGTCTGCGACAGCACCGCCAGCGCGTCATGCAGGCTGCGCTCGGCCTCGTCCAGCAGCTGCTCGGTGGCACCGCGCAGGACAATCGTGCAGGCCTGGCCGGCACCGACACCACTGAACTTGATCAGCGTGTCCTCGCCAATAATGACCTCCTCGATCAGGTCACAGCTGCCGAGCTTGACCAGCTCGGGGTGGTCAAAGGTCGAGGCGATCTCGCCGCCCGTGACCAGAGCGAGGCGCTCGATGCCGTCAAAGTCGGCGTGCTCGATGGACATGATGCCGGCGTCGGCAAACAGTTGCTCGGGCCAGTTGTAGATGAGCTGGCGGTTGATGAAGCAGTTGATGCCGTGTGCCTTGATCTTGTCCACCTTGGCCTTCATCTTGTCGCGCTCGGCCTTCTCAAGCTCCGCCAGCTTGCTCGTCGTCGTGACCTTGACGCGCGCGCCAAAAATCTTAACCTTGTCCGTGTCCATGGACGTATTGGCGACCAGGATCTTGGCCTTCTCGAGACGCTTCGGCTGGTTGACGCCAATCTTCTTGTCCAGAATGAAGCCCTCGTCGAGGTACGACTCGCTGAGCTTCCCGCCCGTTTTCTTGATGATTTGGATGTGCGTCAGGTCGACGGTACCGCCCAGGCGCAGGATGGCCTCGGTGGCGAGCTCGGCAAAGTGGTCGCGGTCCTGGGCGAGGACCTTGGAGGACAGCGTCGTGCGCGCAATGGCCACCAGGTCCTTGCGGAAGGCCTTGGGGTCCTTGCTGTGGTCGACGGCCGACGCCTGGAGCGCCGCCAGCGCCGCCTGGCTGGCTATTCTGTAGCCCTCGATGATGGTCTGCGGGTGGATCTTCTTGTCGACGAGCTTCTCGGCCTCGCGCAGCAGCTCGGCCGCCAGCACGGCCACGGACGTGGTGCCGTCGCCCACCTCGTCGTCCTGCACCTTGGAGATGTTGACCAGCACTTTGGCTGCGGCGTTGTCGAGCGCAATCGACTTTAATATTGTCGCGCCGTCGTTGGTCACAATAATGTCGCCCGTCGACGCCGACTGCAGGATCTTGTCCATGCCCTTGGGGCCCAGCGTGCTCTTGACCAGGTCGCCCACGGCAATGGCGCCCACGAACGCCGACAAACGGGCATTCTCGCCCTTTTCCTCGGTCGTTCCCTCCTCAAAGATCTGTGTCGGGCTAAAGGAAGCCTGGGGACGAGACATGGGTCAGTATTTGAGCTTGTGGGCGAACATGGACCTTGTTTTTGGTCTCAGGAGAAAGTCTGCTTAGAAAGCCTTACCATGACGATAGCTCAAGTGTGTCGCTGCGGCAGGGAGGGACGGAATGCAAAACAGTTCGTCAATCGAGTATGGTGTCGTCAATGCAAATGCGAGAATATCTTGGAGCGGTCCGTCCGCTGGGTGGGGAGCTGGAGCTTGTGTTGTTGTGCTGCACAAATCTCGGTTGCCTTGGGATGATGGTCGCGATGCTTTCGAGCTCGTGCTGCAGGTGCTGTGCAATTACGGTAGGCTGGCGTGAGGGCCGCCAATCTCTGCTGCTTCTACGACCTGCTCTGGCGTTCTGTGGTCGCTCCTTCCCCTATTACGGGCACCCACTTCCAACCCACCTTTTGGCGGGCAGTCCGTTTTTTTTTCTTTGGTAGCCTTCGCCCCTGGCAGCCGCCAACAGCCCCTCCGGCGCCGGCACTTCAATTATCCGCAGTCTACGCACTTTCCTCCTCGCGTGCAGACCACTGGCCCAATGCCGGCCTAAAATTGGGTTTGTTCAGTTAGGCGGGCAGTGGTGTCCAGGGGACCTTTGCTGTAATTTTGGCGGGGCTCAGAAAACCCAGACCCACTTTTGCACTTTTTGCACAGTGTTGGTGGGCTATGGGCGTGCAAAACGCAAAAAAAATAGGAATCGACGCCCTCTCCCAAAGTCGCCAAATCTGGAAGCATCACGAAAGCAGACGGCACTCGACGCACAACAGTCCTCGCAATACAACACATACACCGCACCTATCACGCACATCTTAACAAGGGCATCACAAAATAATCAATAGCCAATAGCTTACTCGTCATACGCTGCCGCCACCACCCAGCATGGCGCCCTCTTTCGACCACCTCCGCGAGGCGGATCTCGACGACGACGAGTACGACGAGGATGAGGTCGATATCTCCGACCTGCGCGCAAAGTACGAGGTGCAGCTGGAGCAGGGATTCGATACGTTTGTTGTGATTGACGGCCTGCCGGTCGTCACGGAGGAGCAGAAGCCGAAGCTGGTCAAGTTCCTGCTGAAGAAGCTCAACACGGTGGGACGTGCGCGTGAGGACAGCATCGAGATGCCGATGAAGGGCGAGGACGGAAAGTCTCTTGGGTGAGTAGTCTGGGGGGTGGCAGCGTGCGTTCGGCAGCCGCTGTCTCGTCTACCTTGGTTTGCCGGCCATACACTTTGCCATAACCTTTGCCATCGCTTTGTCTAACATGCGTCCCAGCTTTGCTTTCGTGGAGTATTCGTCTGCCGGCGAGGCCGCGGCCGCCGTCCGGCAACTCGACAACGTCGCGCTCGACAAGCGCCACACGCTGCGCGTCAACAAGCTGACCGACATTGAGCGGTACGGCCGCGAGGGCCGCATCCACGACGAGTACGAGCCACCACACATTGACGAGTTTGTGCCCCGCGACCACCTGCGCTCGTTCCTAGCCGATCCCAGCGGCCGCGGGCGCGACCAGTTCGTCCAGTACCGCGGCGACAACGTCGCCGTTGTCTGGAATAACGAGAAGGACAACCAGGAGGTTATCGTCGACCGTCCCAACTGGACCGAGAGCTTCGTGCAGTGGTCGCCGCTGGGCACATACCTGACGTCGGTGCACATCCAGGGTGTGCAGTTGTGGGCAGGCCCCAAGTGGGACCGTGTCGGCCGGTTCCCCCATCCCTTTGTCAACCTCGTCGCCTTCTCGCCGCAGGAGAACTACCTCGTCACGTGGTCCAACCGCCCCATCTCCATCTCCGAGGAGGGCCACCCCGCGCTGTCCATCGACGACGACGGCAAGAACTATGTCATCTGGGACATTGCCACGGCCAAGCCGCTGCGGTCGTTTGCCAACATCGACATCCCCATTGGCCCCGGTGCCGAGGGCCCCGACGGCGTCAAGGCGCCCCGGAAACAGCCGTGGCCGGCCTTCAAGTGGTCGTCGGACGACAAGTACGTTGCGCGGTTAACACAGGGCCAGTCCATCTCCGTCTACGAACTGCCCCGCATGAACTTGCTGGACAAGACGACGATCAAGATTGAGGGTGTCATGGACTTTGACTGGGCACCCGCGCGGCCGCAGCGCGACGGCGTCAAGACGTACGAGCAGCTGTTCTGCTACTGGACGCCCGAGATTGGCAGCAACCCTGCCAAGGTCGGCCTCATGAGCATCCCGTCCAAGGAGATTGTGCGCACGCTGAACCTGTTCAGCGTGTCGGACGCGAAGCTGCACTGGCAGTCCGAGGGCGCGTATCTGTGCGTCAAGGTCGACCGCCACTCCAAGTCCAAGAAGTCGCAGGCCACGACGCTGGAGATTTTCCGCGTCAAGGAGAAGGGCGTGCCCGTCGAGGTGCTCGACACCATCAAGGACACGGTCATCAACTTTGCGTGGGAGCCCAAGGGCGACCGGTTCGTCATTATCACGACGACCGAGCCGGTGGGCCCGACGGCCGTGCCGCCCAAGACGTCCGTGTCGTTCTACTGCCCCGAGAAGGCCAAGGGCAACGCGGTCGGCAACTTCAAGCTGCTGCGCACGCTCGAGAAGAAGAACAGCAACGCCATCTACTGGTCGCCCAAGGGCCGCTTCGTCGTGGTCGCCACCGTGCACAACCAGCAGAGCTCGGAGCTCGAGTTCTTTGACGTCGACTACGAGGGCGAGAAGCCCGAGGCCGAGAAGGACATGACTGCCAACCTGCAGCTCATGAACACCGCCGACCACTACGGCGTGACGGACGTGGAGTGGGACCCCTCTGGCCGGTACGTGGCGACGTGGGCGTCGGCGTGGAAGCACTCGATGGAGAACGGCTACCACATGTACAACTTCAAGGGCGAACTGCTGCGCGAGGAGCCAATTGACAAGTTCAAGCAGCTGCAGTGGCGCCCGCGCCCGCCGACGCTGCTGTCCAAGGAAGAGCAGAAGGCGATCCGCAAGAACCTGCGCGAATACTCGCGCGTCTTCGACCAGGAGGACGCCGAGCGGATAGCCGGCGCCGACCAGGAAGTCGTGGACCGCCGCCGCGAGCTGCTGGCCGAGTGGTACAGCTTCCGCGAGTCCATGGAGGAGGAGCTGGCCGAGGAGCGCGAGCTACAGAACATCTCCGCCAACGTCGTCGAGGAGATGCTCAAGGCCAAGACGGAGGCCCTGGGTGCCGTTGAGGATCAGGACAAGGTGGTCGAGGAGATTGTCGAGGAGGTCCTCGAGGAGACGGAGGAAATTGTGCAGTAAAATGGGCCGCGGTCTCGTGCACGCCAAAAGTCTAAGAGTCTTTTGTCTTTTGCCAAGAGCCCCAAAAAATGGTGGGCCGGGTGGACGGTCTGGGATCATTCGTTTTTGTCATTTTTTGTTCTGCTTATTTTTGTTTGATAGTCAGGTCCAATGTAAAGGCATTAGAGAAGGCCGAGATATAATGCGGTTCTCTCGGCTTTTTTTCTTATTTTATTTCTCTGAACGCAGTGTTTCTTAAAGTCGGTTCATTACGAAATAAAAAAGTAGGAAACTTGTTTACTCTCGTACTGCTTGCTAATATGCAACTATGACTGTGTGGTCCCCCTTGGACATGCGAGAAATGAAACGGTCCTTGAGTAACAGTCTCATCTCGTCAAGACGTGTTGCTGGAGTCGTGTTTGTTGCACCACTACGGCTTGGTCACTCTTTCCCATCATGGCCATGTCCCGTGCGTGGTCGCTTTCCCGATTCTCTGTACCTTAATCTGGCTATTTAGGAAAGAGCAATACGCGCGCCAAGAGAGAATATGGCCGATTGTACCTTTCTCTTAATGGTGATTTAGGAAAGAACGCGTTCAGGCTAAAGAATCATTCGCCTCTTTCTTTCTCTTGGTACTTTTATATCTTTATTTTGTTCACAGCATCCCGAACTCGACAATACCCCAGATCGCCCTTCTCTCCACTCTGAGCCTCCTCTCCTGCCTGGAAATAGACAGCAATTGCTGCCGTTTTCTGACTTTTGTCGACTTTTGTCTGGCCTTATCTTTTACGTCGAGGTGGCCGATATCCTCACCCATTCGACCACAAAGATCGCGGCATCAACCTTTGAAGCTTCAGCCCCCACAGCCGCAACAGCGATGAGCTTGTTCAGCAAGGGCCATCGGGTCCTCTTCGGCCTCTACATGCTTCTATGCAAGGCCTCTGCAGCCTATTCCAACTTCACCACGACGTGCGAGGACCCCGTACTGCACACCAGCCGTCTGGGCCATCTCAGCCTGCTGTCGGCATCGTGCGTGACGACCACCGAGGCCCTCAACAGCACAAAAAGCACAAACAGCACAAATAGCACAAGCAGCACAAACAACACGGACAGTACGGCCACACCGCTTTTTCACAACAGTACGCTCGACCTCAACCTCTGCCTGGGCATCGACGACTCGACGGCGGTGCTTACATGGTCAATCTATGGCAAATTCTCGCTCTACTGCTCGAGCTGCCATGTCGTCGGCCGGACGAGCCTGGGCTGTTCGTGTGCGACGTTGAGTGGCGTGAAGGCCAACTCTACGATTGATCTAGGTAAGCGAAGCGAAGCGAAATAAAGTGGTATGTGAATGTGGTTAGGATATCACTAACAACCTACAGACTCTGGCATCTCCAACAGCAATGGCACACTGTCTTGTCTAGGAGGCATCGGGATGGACAACTAGGACATGTATGACGACGTGACCGCTACATTTCGTGTGATAACCTGTTTTCGTGTCCCATTTCTCGTTCCGTCTTTGTCGATGTCTGAGTTACATCTGTACAATAAGACTGTCCCACGGGGGCAAACAGACGGAAGGAGTTAATACTCACAAACTCGGGTCTTTACAACTTTTCATGATACTCTGTTTTTAATACCCACATCCTTTGAAGCCAATCTTGAACCTGACCTATACGTACCTGGTGTGTGCCGTCATGCAGTTTGCTGCTTTTCCTTTTTTCCCCTTTTTTTGCTGTAGAAATGATCACGTGGACTTCACATCTCAACTCTTGCTGTGCAATCGCAATAACCTGGTGAGGCTCTTTCCTTAAAAGGCAAGGGTGCTAATCACAACCTCGACCGAACGTATGCACACCGCTTCACGGAGCCATGACAATACTGCTCTGTTGGGACTCTTGACCGTGCAGTCCGGTGATGGACTTGTCAGACCGCTCTGCACTTCTCGCAAAGAACGCGTTTCGATGAGACAGCATGTTGTTGAGTGAATGCTCACGGTCAAGTGAACATTAGACAAGATGCCTCGCAAAAGCAGGTAGGGAGCCTTTGGGATCCTTCATCTTCAACTCTCCTTCTTTCTGCAACTTGAAAGAACAAAAACACGGTTCGGCTGACTTTGTCGAGAAGACTCTCTCACCCACTCCTCAACACCATCGAATGCTTCGCTGAAAGGTGTCCGCACCACGACGGACAAGATGGGGTTGAAAAGCAGGAAACGGCACATCAGCCACATTTCAACTTTAGTCCCCAAAGCTGCGAATGTACCTACCGCGCGCTCTGAATCAGACCCCAAGCCATTCAACAGTGACACCAGCTCGGACATGCCGTGGACGATGAAGAGTCCGAAGCAAGACAACAAACATATGTGTCATGCTGTGAAGGATCGGCAAGCAGCACGAGTGAGGCCAAATCGTACGACGGCGAAACGCAGTCTCGCTTTTGCAAATGCACGGGCAGCGTCCAAAGCCGCCAAGTCGTTTGACGCGACACGCGAAGCGAAGGAGCTGAGGCCGAACGAGTCAGCAACAGAAACGAATAAGAAGAAGACAAAGAAGACGAAGAAGAGAAAGCGATTGGAGAAAGCCGTATCGTGGTCGAAGACAGAGACGGAGATACCGAGGACCTCCTAGGATGGTGCCGCGGCTACCGATACTGCTACGACGACCATTGCTGATGACGCCAACGACAATACAACGAACAGTCTGACAAAGAACAGCAGCTCGGACACAGTCGAGGTTCCTTTGTCAACCCGGGGTTCCACTGCCGCCGACGACGCTTCGGTGTCAGCATCGGCCAACGACACCGAGAACGAGCTGGACAAGCGTCTGCGCCTGGCGGCCCACAACGCCAGCCGGTTAGAGCGCCAGGCCTATCTCAAGGAGCAGCAGAAGTTGAAGGGAAAAGACGAGGAGAAGGATCAGCAGGCCCTATTTCTTAAACGGCAGAAAGAGCATGAGCTGATGGCTTTTACGCCCAAGACGCCGCTCTGCCTGCCGCCGCGGTCGAGCCCATACTCGCCCGGCCCCAGATGTCGCCTGCCCTACCCGACCAAGAAGTATCGCGGCACGCCCGTCACGAAGAACACGAACGGAACTATGGAAAAGGCGGGCGCCACACACCCAGCGGGAGGCCCGGTTGTGGAAAACCCATACGGCACCGGAGGTTGGGGACCGGGATACAGCAGCGATGTCGAGGACGGCGGTGACGACGTCGGCCACGCCGATAACTAGCGTATTACATCCTTTGTGGCTCGACTGCAGGCGGCCAAGTGTTCTGTAGACGCGCCTGCCCGCGACAAGAACATCCCACCACCGCTGTGTAAAGAGACGCCGTCCCGTGAAACAAGCAGCAGCAAAACAAGCGCCGCTCTCCATGATAAGAGCCAGACAGGAAAGAAGAGGAAATGCCAGTTTATCCACGTCTACCGCTACACGGTGTTCCCGCCGGTTGTTGCCGGAGAAAGCAATGGAAGTGGTGCCGAGTGAAGAGTGTTGGGTGGTGGGTGGTGAGCTGCCATATTCGTTTCTGACGGGTAGCTCTGTTGATGTCGTCGTGCGGTGATCTTTACTATTTGACGCCACTTATGACTTTAATTTTCTGTAACTTTCTGCAATTTGTCTTGCCATTTTCTGCGACGAATTTCATCAAGATCATGAATAACGACGCGAGGATAAGGAACATGATGGATGACATGCTGTCCACGGACGGTAATAAAGGAGTAAAGGACAATAAATATGTATGCAATGCTTTCTCTCTCAATGCCAAAAATAAAGTTTTATTTCAGCATCCTGCAAGAAAAAGGACTGGACAGCCGCCGCATGGATGGCTCTGCCGTCTGACAAACAATTTTTGACTTTTCGAACGGCCATCCCACGCCCGGCAAGACGGTAGTCTGACAAATGGTGCATATGTCCCAAAAGATAAATAAAAGAATAAATCCCGACTCGCAGGACATATCCTGTTTTGTCCAAGGTCGCTCTGCCGCCTCGCATTCGCACTCGACGACGTAATTGAGACAGTCGATTGAATCCCGTGCGGCTCACTGCGCGATCTTTACGTCGCACTCGGCCACGATTTCCCCGCCTTTGTTGATCGACTTTTAGGGGCGGCAGTGGGCATCCACTGCAACTGCACCACCACCACTCCACCACAACCCGTCACACACCAATTCCGCTCCGGACAGCCCGGAACACCGTCCCCTCACACCCAGACACGACACATAAAAACAAGGAGGCTTGAACGGCAAAGCCTCCCAATCGGGACGGATGCCACCCCAAGCGGAGGCGAAGGGCCAAATTGTCAGCAAGTCCTATTTGTACCTTTCTTTCCCCCTCCTTTTAATCCGGACCTTCTCTCGCTTCTAACCTTTGCCTTCATTTCTCTTTCGTCTCTCCTTTTCCCTTTCGTCAATCTCCGTCTCGACTGTCTTCTGTCGTTCGACAAACGCCTTCGTTACTCGACCAGTCCCTCTCTCCTCTGTCGAAACTACCGGAGATCGCGACCTACATGCACGCAGTCAATGTCCTTCATTGGGAACAGCTTTTGAAGATTGCAAGATTTGCGAGTAGACGTCTCACGAAACGATAAAAACAGAGCGCCCGGAGAGGAAAGAAACGGGGGCATAACGAGTCACAGGTCGTCCGTTCTCCCGAGTCCCGTCCTTCCTTGGCCCCCGACCAACGCTCGTTTTTCGCTCGGCTCTGCCTCAACCTGTCTGTCGCGGTTTATTATACTTTATCACAAAAATTCGAAATGAATCAAACAAGAACTCCCCACGTCGTGTACAGGACACAAAAACAGGGAAAGAAAATTCAAAAAATTCAGATACCGTCTTTATATAATATGGATCATACGGGTCGTCGAGATAAATCGAGGGAAAGGGACGACGTCCCTTTTAAATCAACGCGAGGCAAAAAAGACCAAAAAAGACACAAGTGTGGAGAGCTCGTTGGCATCAAATCCGCATGACTGGAGTGAAACGAGCTGTTTCCCTCTGCAACCCCATACCCATCCCCCATCCGCAAGGCCAGTCAAGTGAGCTTTGCCTACGAAGGGGGCGCCATCTTGATGGGCTTGGTGCCCAGACCGTTGTGGTTGCGGAAGAACAGGATGTTCTTGCCCTTCTCTGTGGCCTCGGCGCTCGGCTCGACCCACTGGCACATGCGCGCGCTCGTGTACAAGGACTTGAGGAAGCCCAGCGAGCCACCCTCGACGTCAGCGCGGTAGTGCTGGCCCATGATGGGGCGGATGGCCTCGGTCGCCTCGTCGGCGTGGTAGAAGGGGATGGTGCTGACATAGTGGTGCAGGACGTGCGTCTCGACGATGCCGTGCAGCAGGTGGCGGCCGACGAAGCCAAACTCGCGGTCGATGGTGGCCGCGGCGCCGCGCACAAAGTTCCACTCGGCCGGGGTGTAGTGCGGCAGCGAGGGGTCGGTGTGCTGCAGATAGGTGATGGCGACGAGCCAGTGGTTGACCCACAGGTAGGGCAGGCCGTACCAGACGGCCAGGTTGGCCCAGCCGAACGTGCTGCCGAGCAGGACGAGCGCGGTGATGGCGAGGCCGAGACCAATGTCGCTCAGGACGACCAGGCCGGCATCTTTGTTGTCGAACAGCGGGCTGCTGGGGTTGAAGTGGTTGACGCCGGTGCCCCAGCCGTTCTTCTTGCCCTTGCCGCGGCCCTCGCGCTGGCCCTCGTGGTAGTTGTGGCCCGTGACGTTGGTCAGCAGGTAGTTGGGCCAGCCGAGCAGCTGCTGCAGGAGCAGGTTGATGAAGGTGTAGATGGGGGTCTCCTCGGTCAGCTCCGACAGCTCGTGCACGAGCTTGCCCAGGCGCGAGGCGTGCTCCTCGCGCGTGCGGGGCAAAAAGACCATGTCGCGCTCCATGTTGCCGGTGGCCTTGTGGTGCTTGCTGTGCGACATCTGCCAGCTGAAGTAGGGGACGAGCAGGGCCGAGTGCAGGACCCAGCCGACGGTGTTGTTGAAGGTCTTGGAGGGCGAGAAGGCACCGTGGCCGCACTCGTGGGCCAGGATCCAGAGGCCCGTGGCGAACAGACCCTGCATGATGCTGTACAGGAACCACAGGGCGCCGCGCGCGACGACGTTGGGGACGTACGCGGGGGTGTTGTAGGTGTGGAAGCCGTAAAAGGTGATGGCGAGGTAGGCCATGTCGCGGAAAACATAGGCGAGGCCGCGGGCGCCGGACCGCTCGAAGCAGTGCTTGGGGATGGCGTCACGGATGTCCTTGATGGTGAAGTCGGGGACCGTGAACTCGTTGCCGTAGGTGTCGACGAGCTTGCCGTACTCGGCCTTGCTGTCGGTGGGCTTGGCGCTGATGTCGTCCATGGACGAGAGCGAGGAGAGGGAGGTCGAAGAGGCCGAAGGGCGCGGCGAGTCGACGGGAGACTGTTGGGCCGTGGAAGGGACCGAGACGTCAAAGTCGGTGGCGCTCGAGGTCAAAGTGCGGCGGAGGGCGGCGTGCTTGGCCGTCGAGGCCGCCGACGAGGTAGCGGTGGCCATGATGGCGGCTGTGTGCGTAGGGACAGGAGGAGAAAAGAGGAGGAAAAAACGAGGAGACGAGACCAAAGACGAGTCTACAAAGACAAGATGTCGTTCTTTACAACGTCCTTCTTGGCTGGCCTGTTCCACACTAGGGTGGAAGACAAGGTAGGGATGTGAGCAAGAAGTGAGAAAAGGGAAGAGTGAGAGAAAGAAAATGATGGATGGAGGAAATACAAGAGAGTGAGAAGAGAAGAAGCGGAAAGGAGGAAAAGGGAGGGGGGATAGAGAAGAATAACAGAGTAAGAAGTATGGTAGGGTGGGTGTGGGAGAAAAGGAAATAAAAGCAAAGATGCAGTGGGATAAGAAGGGGATCAAAACCAAGGGAAACAAGTGGAAAAGGAGTGGCGTTGAAGCTGAGGGTATAAAAAGAAGAAGAAAAGAAAAAAGAAAAAAAGGGAAAAGGCCGGCAACTGGAAAGAGCAGGGGGCGTGTTGTTTCTCATGGGGCCGACGAAAGCAAAAAGCATTGTGGAGTAAAAAAAGGGTAGTGGAGAGAGACGGCTGGGCTAAGCAAGAGCTATCGTAGTATCAGCAAAGTTCGTTCTTTGGTTTACTCAGTACTACGAAGTACATAATATTAAAATGTATGCCGTATGGAAGCGGCAGTGGCAGCTCAAAAACAGTGGATGAGAATAGCCAAACGCTGAAAAGTGTGTCTTTTGACCAACACTGATGACTGTTGCCGTCGTTTGCTCTTTCCGTATGTATTGTTTTCTTACTATGTGGATGTGCTGAACAAACGAATTTGGACGGGAGTGCCACAATCAGCAGCAGCGACCAACAGGCAAGTAGTCATGGCAGAAAAAAAAGGTACAAGGGAAGGAACGAGGGAAAGCAACCAGGAGAGACAGTGTGCCGCTAGGAAAGAAACATGCGGCCAGGCCACAGCAGGACACGAGAATTCGCTCCAGCAATGAGTAAATGAGCAACTTGGACAAAAGATAACCTGACGTCCGCTGTCTTCTGCTCGTAGTACTGAACAGCTTCGTTCCTTGCCCTTCAAGCCGTCGTCTTGGTGCCAAGCACTGTTTTTTTGGTGGCTGCGGCAAAGGACGAATTGGCCACTCAGAACATGCAGCCTGACCGCTTTCCCGAGGAAATAGGAGGACGGAAGAAGAAAACGAGGGAGCGCACGAGGGAGCCAACTGTTTTTTTCTTTAAAATAATAATAATAATAAATGTTAAAATAAAAGAGAATTAAAGATTGCTAGCGCCGCGTATCAACTAGCGGCTCCTTCCCTGTGTCACGAACGGAACAGTACGACGTATCCCTCTTTCTTGCCTCTTTGGCTTTGACCGCCTTTGACCGCCACGCTGCTCTGGCGCATACTTCGTATTGCCGACGTAGTGTCCTGTAATTAGAGGACCACGATGCGTACGGAAACCTCCGTACACATGGTCCAGTGGTCTACAACAATCAATATACGAATCGTACATCGTACCCAGAAGTCGGCCTTTTACAGTGGGACCATCAACAGTACTCAGTTGGGGAAGAACAGATGAGACGATTTGCGATCTCCTGTAAGGAGGAAAGAGCAAGAAGCAAAAGTGGGTACGAATTACAGTAGACGGTACGAACCAGAGGCGTGCCAGGGTAGCAGTTTCCCCTGTCAGGGATGCCGAGAGGGAAAAGGCGTGCCGTGAAAAGGGCGTGAACGTCGACCGTCACATGTA